AGGGAGGGAGGGGAGAATAAAGGGAGGCAGGAGAGGGGGAGTTGGGAGGGAGAGAATAAGGAAGGCAGGGAGGGAGGGAGGGAAGGAGGGTCTGTTGATTATTTACCTACTATGCAAGCCCATATTTTCTATGACAAAATATCTGACATAAACAACTCAAAGGAAGAACAGCTTATTTGTAGTCAGCATTTCAAAAGTTCAGTATAGTCCTTGGTTCTGTAGAATCTGAGCCCCTGTTAAGACAGAACAACATGTTGGCAGGAGTGTGGAAAGAAGGCTGTTCACCTTATGACAGACAGGAGGCAGAAAGAGAGGAAGGGACTAGGACCAGATCTAATCTTTAAAGTCATGTACAAAGTGATCTACTTCCTCCAGTCAGACCCCACCTCCCAAAATTTCCATCATTTCTCATAGTATGACCTGGGGACCAGGTGTTCAACACACGAATGAGGGACATTTCAGATTCAGATCATAACACCGCCCATTTGATGTAGTCACTCTTCTTGATTGACCCGAGAAGAGTGAAAAGACGCATCCACACAAAGATTTTTAATTCAGCGTTTACAGAAACATTACTTGTTGCACCCTAACGTAAAGCAACCATGTGACCATCTATGATAAATAAATTGTGGTATATCCATACAATGGGATACTACTGAACAATTACAGTGAATGAGCCACACCATGAATGAGCCACAAAACAGCTGGCTAAGTAAAGTTAACAGAAGTTTTAAATGGTTCATACTGTATGAATGCATTTATATAAAATTTGATACAATGTATATAAATATTAGCACAATAAAGAAGGGAAAAAGAAAGCAGAGGAAATTATAGGGGGCACAGATGTCATGGGGGTAATGGGTATGTGATTATCTGGAGTGTGGTGGCAAGTACAAATGTAGGAACTTATCAAATTGTCACTTTAAATACATTGGTTTATTGTATGTCAATTATACCACCATAAAGTTGATTTAAAAATAAGATACCGCTATACTGAAAAAGAACCAGGGAGGGAAGAAACAAAGGCAATGAGATAAAGAGGAGGGGGGAGCAGAATCCCAGGTGCCCTCCCAGAGCAGAGAGATTGCTCTCCAATGGCTTTATTGCCTAGGACTGGACTCTGATCTGCCAGAGTGCATGCAGATGGAAAGCAGACGAAGAACAAACCAATAAAACGTAAGGATTTGTCCAGAGCTGCTCTACTCAGAAGGCAGATGACCAAAACCATGTGGTGACTTCATGAAGAAGGAATACACACAGGAGCTTCAGACAATGCTGATAACAGGAAGGACAGGATATAAACACACTGAAGGTCAGCAGAGGATGGAGCTTAGTGCCTGCTGTCCAGCACTGCAGGATAATGAATAAATAGGGCCTGGGGAGATGGCTCGGTCAGAAAGTGCTTTCTGTGCAAACATAAGGGAGGACCTGAATTTGGATCCCTAGCATTCACTTGAAGGCCAGTTATAGCACCGAGTACCTATAATCCAGAGCTGGGGAGGCAGAGGTAGGGAGGTTTCTGGAGCTTAGTGGCCAGCCAGTCTAGCCAAATCATTGAGCTCCAGGTTCAGTGAGAGACTCTCTCAAAAAATAAGGAGAGTGACTAAGGGAAACATATGACATCTATCTATGGCTTCCGCATGCACACACATGATCACATACACAAGAAAATAAATAATAATGGATTTAAATATCTGGGTGAAAGTGTTCATATTGCATCTTTGGTACTGTTAACATGTCAGGTGGAGGTGGAGAGCTTCACTGGGGAAGACACAATTGTGAAATGGGCCTCGGCAATAGGGAGGGTTGAACCTTAAAGATGAGAATGAAAATGAGAAGGGAAAGCTAAGACACCCATAGATGGCTAATGCCAAGTGCTAGTGGCTCTGTGCTGAACAGGGTTAACAGTGCCCACCAGGGAGTGGGCCTCATTTTGGAAATGGAGAAGCTGGGGTTCTGAGAGAAGTGTATTTTCTCAAATGAACCAAACTTTCCATAACTCTATACTGCAGTGATCCCGTCTTAGGCTTGTGAAGCAGCTGCAAGGGGATGCAAGCTAGATTCTCTGGACTCGTATCCTGTCTACCCCAATTTCTGAAAGAGTGAACTTGGGCATATTATTAAGCCCTCTCACTTTCCTCATTTGGAAAATGAGGAACTAATAAAACCATTTCACTGAAGTTGTTTCGTCAAGGTTTTCCAAACATCACCAGTATATATGTGGAGACAGTGAGGAGCGTATTTAAGGATTTCACTCATGTTGCTGTGGAGCTTGGTGAGCCCTGCAGGGGAGGCCTGCAGGCTGGAGACCGGGGGAAACATTTCATTCCAAGTGCAAAGTCATGTGCTGGCAGAATTCCTTCTCCAAACAGATCAGCCTTTCTCTATTTAGACCTTCATCTGATTTGATAAGGCCCACCAGCATGGTGGATGCTAACGTGCTTTAGATGCAGTCTACTGATGTCAATGCTCATCTCATCTAGAAAGTTCCTTCCCAGAAACAAGCGGGATAATGTTTGACCAAAGGGTATTGGCGCCTAAGCGAACTGACATCACAGTGCTGGCCCCACCCCCTTCTTACTCTTTTTTTCTGAGAAGTTTCAGTCATGTACTCACTTCGGTTAGTCATGGGGAAATTGCTTTTCTCCTCCTCCCTTTTCTTTTCTCTTTTGTTCCGTATATAAAAAGCTCTCCCAGAGGAGGAGTGGTTGCACTGTTCCTGCCCCCAGCTTCCCTGCTCAGACCGGGGAGGCTGCTCAGCAGGTAGGGGCACGAGTTTGATTACAGGACCGACACAGTGGAACGAAAGAATAAAAGGTTGTCCTCTGACCACAAGTGCACCATGGTATGTGCACACACACACACACACACACACACACACACAATAGATAAATACTAAATAAATATGGGGAAAAAACTTTCCCAGAGACCCAGGCACTTTGTTTTTTCTTCACCCTCATGGTCCCCAGGTCCCATCACAATTCCCTAAACAGGTCTATCCTCTCCAGGTTTAATCCAGTGAGTGGCAGTCAACTTTGTTTGCATTTGAGAGTTACCCATAGATCTCCCAAACAACTCCCAGACTCGGCCACACTACAGAAAAATTAAACGAGAGAATTTAACTACAGGTAGGTCATAAGTATCAGAGCAGCCTCTAATTCCTTTGATCACTCTGATTTCCAATATGCAGCCACATACATCCCACATCCCATTCCTTTGAAGCCCATTTCCACAGCCGGTGGCCAAACATCTCATCTGCTTCTACCTAGGGGGTTAAATTTTTGCTTTCATGAGTTTTCTCTAAAACAATACCTTAAGTGATACGTGTAACAGGACAGAGAAGTAAGACTCCCAGGCAGGCGGGCATGGGAATGCATAATTCAGGACACTCTGCCCCTAAGCTTACATTCTCATGGAAGGCAACCTGCTCAGAGGACCAGCCTTACTCCCTGTATAGCTCCTGGAAGGGCACCTAGGGCGGCAAGAAAGAATAGAAGACGAATGCATTCATCAGCAACCAGACAGGTCACCTGAATCAATCATGGAGGCCAGTGAGACAGTCAAACCCCAAGAGTTTCCAGCAGTGACACCGAGATCCATCATCAATGGGTATCTTGCCAGGCACAATGCATCTCCCACCCAGCTACCCTACCTTTAGTCCTCATTATCCTGAGAAGCAGAGTTCTTTGTCAGGGTGGAGTCCAGAAGCAGTTAGTGATGTGGACACAATTCCACAACTAAAAAGACCAGAATGTGACCTGCAAAGCACATGCACTGTCGTGTGGAATCCCAAAGCATCCTACAGCACCTCTTTTTGTTCGGGGAATCATTCTTCTTTCAGCCGTTTCCCTGAGAACACACTTCACAGATAAAGAAGCCCAGGTATGGAGAGGCTGAGTCAGGCCACAAACTGTTACTCACAGGCCCAGGACTCACCT